GTGGTGAGGGAGGGGCACTGCCAGCAGCATGGTGAGCCTGGAGCTTCAGGGTGGGAGGTGGCAGGAGGAGGAGAGGCCAGGGCGCCCCCGGTTGCTGTTGCGGTGGTCTGAGGACCCGGGCCTCCCAGCCCTGGCCCTGCAGTGCTACACCTGCATCCATGTAAAGGACAGTGGCCAGTGCGTGACCACCTCGTGCTCAGACAGCCAGGCTGTGTGCTACACGGGCACCATCACCATGGATCTCGGCAATGAGGGTGAGCGCTCCCCGGCTAGGGGGTGGGGGCCAAGGGTGGATAGAAGAGGGTCCTGGCCTCCTGGTGGTGGGGAGGGGGGGGGGAGCAGGCCTCTGTTTCTCCACTCGCCAGGGGTCCTCCTGGGGAGGGTGGCTGGTTTGGTGGGCGGGGCAGCAGGGCAGTGGGCAGCTCTCGCCTCCTGACCACAGGGAGCATGAAAGTGCACCACAAGGGCTGCTCGCCATCCTGTGAGGGCACCGAGTCCATCATGCAGGATCTCAACAAGCAGCCTGGCCCCGAGATCTCCAAGCTGATGCCCAATTTCGGACCGCTGAAGCCCAGGATGAAAGTGGAAGTTGAAAAGTGTTGTCAGCAGGACCTCTGTAATGGGGCGGCCCAGGGAGCGCGCAGCCTCGGGGCGCTGGCTGCGGGACTCCTGCTCAGCCTGGGGGTCGCTCTCCTCTGTACCCACCTGTGATCCCCCCATCAGAGCCCCCATGCCCCCGTTCCCCCAGCTCAGCTCCCCTCCGAGCATACGCCCAGTTCCTCTCCCTGAGGATTCTGCAGGATGGCCACCGTGGGCCAGCAGCACCCCCCTCCCTTGGCACCTGCCCCGCCTGCCACCCACGCCAAAGTCAAGGGCTCATCTGGACCCCAGAAGCCTCCAACCCGGAATGAGGGTCACAGGATGGGGCAGCGTTGGGGACCAGCCCCTCCCTCCCTGCCCTCCAGCCACTCCAACAATAAAGGCTTTGCCTCTGCTGCACCTGCCGCCGTCATTTCTGCCAGCCGTCCTCACCCCTTCCAAGGGTCCCAGGAACTCGGAGTTGTAGGGGTGCCCCACCTGGCGAGGCGCGTCCCCGCCCGACCAACTGCCACTTGCCGCCTGCCAGCCATCGCCCACCCGGGAGCCATTGATGGTGAAGAGGTGCCGAGCCACCTCCTTTCCTGCACTTCCTTGCTTGATTGCTTTTTAAACATTTTAGGGGGGCTCTTACAGCTCTCCTAACAAGCCACACATCGATTGTATCAAGCACACCTGTGCACATGCTGCCGTCCTTATTTTCCGGACCTTTACTTTCTATTGGTCCCTTGCTGTCCGCGCTTCCCCCTCCCCCCTCGTTATTTTCATGTCTCACACGACACGCTCTATCCCTTGTTCGTCCCCCTGGGGTGGGGGGTGTGGATCATCACGATGATTGCTTCTCCCTTCCTCTCCTTACCTGCCTCCTGCCATCCTACCCCCATTCCTGTTCCTGGATTCTGTGTGTCGTGATCTCCTGTGTCTTATCTGTGCCTGCGCACATGCTGTGGTCTAGCAGGGGGAGCGGGGAGGAAGCCTGCAGGAACCAGAGGAGAATTGTGTGTTTCATCAGTGCCTTACTACACCCTGATTGCCTCAGCCCTTCCCTGTGACCCCTCTGGGAGGGGATGTCCCACTGTCAACAGATGGGCTTTGGGTCTTTGCTCCGCCCGCCTCATTCTCAACAATATGGTTGTTTGTTTGGGGGCTTCTGATGCCTGTTACCCAGTCCCGGTGACACCTCACGATCACACAGGCTGGGGTGCTTCTTCCATGTGGACTTGTTGCTTCTCTGCTAGTTTGCCACTTGTTTAACATCAAGCCAGTCGGACCCCAGGCGCTATATCTTTTGATAGCCACGCACCATCCACTTTCTTTACCCCATTTGCTTATGTACCCAAATCGGCCCTCAGCAATCATGCCAGGGGGGTGAGCATCACAGCGCGCCAGGTTGTTGGAACAAAGTGTGCTTGGGTCGAGGGAGGGCTTGAACAGAGGCTTGAAGTCTGTCCGCTACCTCAGTGTATTACCGTATAAATAAATACATGTACCTGGGCCAATACCTCTATTTTTACGAATTACCTCCCGTGTCCCCTGCCTACTTCCTCAGGACGACATTCCAGGCGGCCTTCCACCCATGCCCCCCCACCTGGGAGACTGCATGGCGATGCCCCCTACCACACCACCTTTCCCCCACCCCCAGAACCTAGGCCTCTGTCCTCCCAGCCCCACTGCTGGTGATCCCTGGAGGGCCACACTGAGGGCTCACAGGTGTCACCACCGGGGCTGAGTCTGCGGTTGGAGACAGGAGCTGGAGAGGGGCCAGCAGCCTGCTGGGGCAGATTCACTTCGGTAGGCTGGAAAAGCCTCAACCTTAAACATCTTGGAAGGGGTGTGACTCAGGACCCTGGAATCCCAATTTGCATGCAGGGTCCTCCTGGTTAGTCCCGGAGGGTGGAGCTGCCTGTGCCAGGAGTCTGGCTGTGGAAACAGCCCTCCCACCCCACCCCCAGGCCCAAGGACACTCCCCCTGGGGAGTCCTTGGGCAGTCCTTGGTTAAGGGTCAGAATTCACAGTTCTGGTTAATCATGATCAGAGCCCCAGGGCTGCATGTGGTGGCGACTCACCTGCTCAGAAGGTACTTGCTCACACAGGTGGGGTGGTAGGAGGGCTGAGACCCCTGGCTTGGGAAAGCCTACCCAGAGGCATCCCCTCCCACCCTGCTGAGCCCCCCCTCCCCTGAGCTGAGAGGACAGTCCCAGGCTGAGCCAGCTTGGTCTGCCAGCAGGGGGTTGACCAGTCTGTCTACTGCCTCCAGATCCCACTGTCCCCTGGGAAACTTCACAGGGCTCCGTGGCCCTACCCTGTAGATACCTCCTGGCTGGGCCCCCTAGGGCCCTGCCCCTCTCTGGACTGCCCAAGGACTACACTCAGAGTTGGTGGAGGAGTGCCTTTTTAGCCTGGGGACACCTCGGAGAGGTGGGAAGGCAGGGGCCTCCAGGCCAGGATCCAGCAAAAGCCAGTTGCCTTGGCCAGCCTCTGACACTGAAATGTGGGGGTGGGAGAGTCAACCCCCTTTCCTAACCGGACTCAGTACTCTTAAGAAGGGCTAGCTTCCCAGGGGGCTCTTTTCCTGCTCCCACAAATAAATCGCAAACCCTGGAGCCGCAGGCGGTCCACAAGCAGCCAGGAGACTCTGAAGGACCAGGGGCAATGGAAGTAGAACTATCACAGGTCCACTGGAAGCAGAACATCTCTAAAAATGTTCTTTTTCCTAAAAACATTCTTAGGACCCTCAAATAATTTTTGAACTGTGAGGGACAGAATTGGCTCCAGTGTTTGCCAACACCCAAACCCACACCCCACACTCCCCCACCCCGCCCTCGCCCACAGAGCCTCTAGAGGCAGGCCAGGTCTGGAACCAGAGAGGAAAGGTCCAGTTTGAAGGGGGTTCGAGCAGGAAGGATGCTATGTTTATTCATGGAAGGAAGTGGAGAGTTCTGGGAATTGAGCCCATGTGGATGGAGTTAGGATAATTAGGCACCCTCTAACAAAAGTCATCTGAAGTTGAAGTGTGAGGGTGGGAGAATCAGGCCCCCTTCCTAACCTGACTCAATTTCTTTTAAAAACCGTGTTTCCAAAAACCATCGCCCATGGGTGCGCCAAGTGGCAAGATGGCCCTGAAACCTGAAGGAGGCTGAGCCAGGAAAGCCACCTGCCAGGAAGGCCACTCTCAAGTTCCCCCAGGACAGAGCTCATCTCTCACCTGGGGGCAAGGTGCAGGGATGGCTATGAAGAATAAGCAGCCTGGTGGTGCAGCCGCTTAAGTGTCGGGCTGTTAACCACCGGGCTGGTGGTTCCAGTCCTCAGCTGCTCCGAGTAGAGGACGTCTGGGTCTTGGAAGCCCTGTGGAGCAGTGGAATTCTGTCCTTTGAGGTCACTGGAGTCAGAGTGGATGAGACCACAGTGAGTGGTCTCCGTGTCAGAGTGGATGAGACCACAGTGAGTGGTCTCCGTGTCAGAGTGGATGAGACCACAGTGAGTGGTCTCCGTG